CTGTACAGAAAGTTTGAAGAGTTGTCATTTGGGTAGATAAAGAGGGAAATAAATGGCTATTCAGAAACAGCAGTAAGATGAAGTTACAAAAGCAATATAGAATCAAGGCATTCTCACCTTTTTTAAACATCAGACCATTTTACAGAAGTAGTTTCAAAAAAGCCCTCTGAAAGACATACAAATTTCCAAAGCTCACCATGTTTAACCCTAAGTGCCTGTGCTTGAAATAAGAAACTGCACAAAGATGATGGGATTCACCCCCTGCACTCTCCACCTGAATTGCTAAACCTCAGCAAATTGCCTAAATAGGAGTCCAGAAGCATTTTGAACAATTTTCATTCTTCAAACCCCTAGAGACACCTGTGCAGTAAACTTGGCTCCCCACAGTAAAGCACAGCTTTTACATCCCTGATGAAAGAACACTTCTGCTTTGTCAAAGAACTTGAAGAGCAGCCCACAACACAGAATTTGAGAAATACCTTAAATAGTGTATCCAAGTTGATGTTGTGCTGTCCAGTAGCATTGAGAGCTTTGATGGCTGCAGTTCTGTGGGAAAGCAACTCATTAGCAATTAAACACACTTGTTGGTTCCAAGGGCTACAAAGCACAAACAGCTTCTTCCTAAAGGCCTTGGCATTGAAAAGCCTGCTTTGGTCCAAACTAACCCCAAGTTGTGTGACTGGATCTCATCTCACAGTGCTGAAGTTCCTGTTACTACTCCACTGAGTACACAGCAAGAAGGAACCTGCCAATCCCTTTCAGCACACTACACAGCCTAAAAATCCCATGGAAGCACCATCCTAGTGCCATCCAATACTTGGGCACTGTCAATCTAAATCATTCCCCTTCTACTATATTTTGCTTCCTGAGAAAGTTTTCGGCCTATGCATTACCTTTGCAATTTTTCATTATTTACGCTTATCACATTCTCACACCCTTTGCTCTGGCATCTGCGAATATTGCTCTGCCCTGTGTGTATTCCTTTCAGAGTGGCATTACAAGAACTGAATAAGGTGCCTGCTCAAGGAGAAAATACCTGCCCATACCTCTAATTACTTTCAAAAGTTACATACATGTTCTCTCCCTGCAGAGCTTCCAAACAATTTACCTGCGATCATCAAAAGGAGGAGGAGTAGTCCAATGATCATAGTTTGTCTCCACACGAAACCACCTGTAATAAGCATATAAGCAAACAAAAGGTGAATCAGTAGGTAATATATCAAGTCCAACAATCATTATCCATATATTGCCAGAAGGAAAAAAAACTCTCTCCACTTGCTACGAGTCCAAGGGCCCCATGTTGGGTGGTGTAACAGCCTTTACCATCAACTATGGAACGCAGGAACAGGGTGGGTGACCTCTGATCTCCTGCTATAACCATGACCAAGAGGTGCCCCAGATCTCTTAAGGAAGTTGTCCTCCTAAGCCAGTCACTCAGAAGGGAATTTGAAAAGCGTAAATAA